CTGGTCTAGTGGGAGGTGTCCCTGGCCATGGCAGGGAGCTGGAACAAGATGAGCTTTGAGCTCCCTTCCAACCCAAACCATTCCATGATTCTGTGATTTGTCTCAATCGTGTGACAGGGAAATGACAGGGAACTTGTCCCCTGATGCACATCCCAGTCCCAGGGGAGTCAACATCAGGGGAGCTGAGTTTGGCCTAAGGCAAGCACATCCCCTTGAGTGTGCAGAGAAGAGCAGGGCTGCCCAGGTGCCCCATCAGCATTTTCAAAGCAGAGCTGCATTTTCATGAAGCTGAAAGAAATCAGGGGGAGAGGGAAGAGTTGAGGGAATTAATGCCCCATCAACCACAAAATGTGGAGTGCAGGGATAAAAACCTGAGTGAGGACAATATTTGGATAAAAACCTGAGCAAAGACAATACCTGCCTGCGTGTGAGATGTGTCTCTTAAACCAGTTGGCTCCTTGCTGCGATTCCTACGCAGAGTTAATGCAGGAATAAGCACTTCAGGGCCACCAGAGATGGGGTGCACGGGGCTCTTTTGGCCACGGGGCATGTGGTGTGTGGTCCCTGGAGGAGCCCTCGGTGGTGCTGAGGGTGAGGAGCAGGTCCAGCCCTCGTGCCGCAGCCTGGCCGGGTGAGCCGGGCAGGGGAGATGCTGATGCTGCAGCTGCAGCCAAAGCTTGGCTTTGCTGGAGGGGTGCATGGCTGGGTGAGGGTGTGGGTGGCTTTAACTTTCCCTGTTTCCTCTGCGCTGCGGCAGCGGGCTGGGGCGCTGGGACTGCAGCAAAAGTGAGAAAGGAGAAAAGAGCGAGCTGAGGCGAGAAATGAGTCGGTGCTGCCGTCGCCCGCGGCTGCCGAGGGCTCCGGCCCAGGGGGTGCAGGCAGAGCCACACATGGCCTGCAGTGGGTGTTTGGGGTGAGCTGTCACAGCATCTCCCGCTGTGACACCCTGGGGCAGCCAGGGGGGAATGTGTCTGAGGGGCTGGGGCTCTGAGCTGGGAGGTGTTACCAGAACCCCAAAACTCTGCAGAGCTGGGTGGAAGGCATGAGCTCTGGGTCCCTGAGCGCCCCAAATGGCAGTGTTCCCCTGGGAGCCCTCCTGTGAGCCCTCCTGGGACCAGATGTACCTAATAATGTCCTTAATAATAGCACAGAATCACAGACTGCTCTGGGTTGGAAGGAACCTTAGAGATCATCCAGTTCCAAACCCCTTTGCCATGGGCAGAGACATCTTCCACTAGACCAGGTTGCCCAGGGGTTCATCCAGCCTGGCCTAATGTCCCTGATATGTCCCTAACCCCTTGCTGGTTTGGGTTGATTGATGGGTAAAGAGCACAAGGCACAGTCCCACCGGTCACAGGTACCTTCCCCAGCAGCAGTGAGTGCTCAGTGCAGCCTGACCTTCTACCTTTCATTCTGTGGCACGATGACTAATTTTGCAGTGAAGAGGAATTAATCCCTCATTGAATCAGCAACAGCAAAACTTGGTAGGTTTTGTTTCTCGTAGCCGACCCGTCGACTCATCTCATCTCACCCCTCTGAGAAGTGATGTCAGAGCAAACACTCATGGGGCAGCTTGGGGCTGGACTGCAGGACTTTTCCTAAAGTGATCCAAGCAGAATAAAAATAATAAAACTTTAAATTTTTTTCTAATATTATCACAGAGTTAAAAACTGAAGAGTTTTGCTGACCATGGAAATTTTCTGGTTTGATCATTTCTCTCAAATTTTGACTTTTGACCTTCTGTGCTACATTTTGCTGAGATTGGTTTGTAAGTTTAAAAGAAAAGTCTTTAAAAGAAAAACCCTCCATCAAGCCAGCAAAGTAAAGCTTCTCATTTTTAGCACGTCATGACTAAATACATCAGTCTTTAAAAAATGAATCAAAATGATTGCTAACACGAGGTGCTTTCCAGGTGATGTTTGATTATAATCTCACACGGTTTTCTATTGAAAAACCCACATTCTGACCAAAACCCCCTCATTTATAGTTCTGGTCAACCAGCAGCTGATACAACCCCACTGCTGCCCACGGCCAGAGTATGTGTGACGTGGGATGGGAGTAAAGGCGAAGCTGTTGAGCCTGATCAGGCACCTTGGAGTCAAAAACCACTGGAGTTCTGATGGTGAGGGTGATCCTCATGTGAAACACCTGCTGGGTTTGTGTGTGCTCAGCAAAAGGAGATGTTTCTAGCTAGCCTGGAGCTCCCATGGCAGTCAGACACCCATGCGTGAGCGGTGTCTCCTAATTTTTCCTTTCTGCCAACAATTAGTCTTTCTTAATAATTAATGCAACTGTGTTTTCTCTCTGCTCCTCCAATTACCTCTGGTTGTTAAAGTCACTTCTTGGCTTCGAAGTGGGATATCCTTCCCTCACAGCAGTGCTGGGGGTTTTTGGTTATTTTTGGGGAGGCCGGTGGGGGAGGTTGGCCCTCTTGTTAAATCTCCACTCGGAAGAAAAACATTTACATCAGGTTATTTTTGTGGCATAAAACACTGGCAGCTGCTAAGTCCTGGCTTTGAAAAGCCTCTTCAAGGCTCATGTGCTGCAGCTGATTTGCAGGAACACAGTCTAGACCTTGCAGAAAGGAGGAATTGATCCCATTTCTCTGACATACGGATTTCTGTAAGCCAGGGGTGGTTTCGCAGCACAACTGTGGGGAGAGAAGGAGCTGCAGTTCTGACCAGGGGATAAATAGCCTCTTGCAGAAATGTTTCTGGCCTCCTTTCTGAGCATCCTTCCCCACCAGATCTTTGTGGCTTTAAAGAGTAGAAGAGTTTTTGAGTGAGGCCAGGGCAAATGCCTTTCTTGCTGGTGTAGCATCTTGTTTGCCATCTGAACCGATGGAAAATCTGAGTAGCCGAGCTGCAATCTTCTTGTAACACCAGGTTACCATAAAATCATAGAATAACAGAATGATTTGAGCTGGAAGAGACCTTAAAGCTCATCTCATTCCAGCCCCCCTTGCCATGGGCAGGGACACCTTGCACTGGCCCTGTCTAACCTGGCCTCGAACACCTCCGTGTTCTGCTCTGGTGGGAAGCAGGACAGTCCATGCCTTTGCTGTGAGGAGCTTTGCTCTCTGCTTTTCCCTGGGGATGTATCCTGTGGATCAGCATCAGGACAGTTCATCTGCAGTTGTAGTGGTGTCTCCTGTCACTGCTCTGAAAGCTGTTCTCAGTCATCAGGCAGCAAGGCTGGCTGGTGGCTGGTGCTGTGCTTTGGATCAGGCATGAGGCAAACGGGAAGGAAAGATCTGCCCTACTTTGAACAGCAGAAATGCTTAAGTTTAGTTTTCAAAACTAAAGCTCATTCTGCTCCAGTGTCATGTTCAAATGTACACGTAGAACAGCACATCCCTCACTTGGGCTTTGTGGCTCCTAAATAAGCTAAGCCATAGCTAATTTTAGAAATATCACTGAAAAGCTATTCTTTGTCTCATTTCATGGCTAAGAATAGAAAAGGCTCAGAGCTCCAAACATGTGTTTAAGTGAGCAGGAGCCAGCCCAGCACTGCTTTTGATGGGAAAACCACACAACCCATGGCCCTGCTGCAGGACAGGAACGCCTGCACCACACCAGTTTGTGCTGGGAAGGGGGCTTGCATTCCCACTATCCCACTGTGCCCAGTAAATCTATTACCCCTGTTAAGCATCAGGAATTAGGGTATTCATTCATTCTCAGATGCAAACCTGCATGCCTCTTGGTTTTGATTTGCATGGGCAAACCTTTGTGGGAAGGGCAGATGTAAAGTGGCTTCTCCATCGGGCTGTTTTCCTTTCCGCTTCATGGCTTTCCTCCTTGGAGCAGGGATGCAAAACACAGGAGTTGCCCAGGACTCCCAGTCTGCTGTGCAAGCAGCTGGGAGAGGTCCAGGACAAGTCAACCAGAGCCCTGTCTCCATCTGTGCCACCTCCACCAAAGCCAACTGGAGCTTACTGCTCATTCTGCCTGAGCAAAATCATTACCAAAGTGAAAGGCACTGGTGAATTGAGTCCAGGGATCCTAAATGACATGTCACAAGTCACACAGCAAATCATCTGCAGTCTCTGGTGGAACCAAAGAGGTCTGGCTGGCAATGCCCACAGCTCTTAGCCCCTGCAGAGCTGTCTGACCTGCTGTGTTGCCATTTTCTCCCCGTTTCAGGGTCTGTCTGTCCTGTTTCTCTTTTCTGGATTTATCCTGGGACAAATCCTGACATTCCACCACCAAGGCTTTGCCCTGTCAGTTTGGGTTTAAAGGCAACCCTGGGCGAAACCAGGCATGTAGGGAGCAGCACGAGACGCTCGGGGCAGGAGGCTGGTGTAGATGGCAGTGTGAGTGTGTGTGTGTTCCTTACAGCTGTGCAGCTCTTTGGAATAGGTTCCCCTCTCTCTGCTCCAACACACAGAAGCACTTCCCATTATGTTCACCAAGAAGAGCCTTTCACAAGGTGCTGGGCTCCCACAGCCACACCGTGTGTAACCAGGGGCAGCTGCCAGAGGAGACAGGTTTTTCTTTGCTTAGTTTTCCTGGGTTTGATGCATTCCCAGTGCTGCCTCAGCTCCCCCTGCTCCTTTTCCCAGCACTGGACGTCAGTCCAAGGGGGATTTCAGCCCAAGGGCTCACTGGTGACCATGTCATGTTTTCAAAGGCATTGCCCTCAGTGTTTAGTGGTGGCCTTGGCAGAGCTGGGTTAATGGCTGGACTTGGTCTTTAGAGGGTCTTTTCCAACCTAAATGATTCTGGGATTCTGGGACCCTGTGTCTGTCCCTGAGTGAGAGCCCTGGTTAGGAAAGCCCAAGAGTGGCTTTCAGAGTGAATCTGAAAGATGTGAGAGCTGTTGTCCCTGCTTTGTTGATGGGTTTTTCTTGCAGGGTGCTGTAATGTTTGTTTAGTAATTTGTTCAGTGCTTTTAGTCATCCCCAGCCTCGCCTCCAACCACAGGACTGCAAAAGGGCACTGGCCCTTTCTGCTGATGGATCCCGATGACTTCTGAGTGCCCTCCCTCCTTGTGTCTTGCAGTCCAACAAAGTTCCCGTTGTGCAGCCGTCCCACGGAGTCCACCCGCTCACCCCGCTCATCCCGTACAGCAACGACCACTTCAGCCACGGCTCCCACTCGCCCCACCTGCCCGCTGACATCAACCAGAAACAAGGTAGTGGCAGCGCTGGGGACCTGTGTGCTGGGGGGGGGACAGGGCTGGACACCACTGAGATGAAGGCTGTCACCTTCCCGCTCCCAGATCAACGAGAAAAGTCCAGAGCTTTGGCCAGCTGGGGCATTGCTTTGCAGTAGGAGGTTATTGAGCTTATTGGCAATGCTTTGTGAACCTGGGCAAGGGCTGTTTGATATCCAGAGTGCCAGCCCTGCTGGTGGGGTGAGCTCAGTTCTCTGTACAGGCTGTCCTGTACCTTGAGACCAGACCAGAGGCTGCGCGATGATGTGCAAGAGTCAACCAGAAAATGGAAAGTAATCTTTCCTTTGACTCATACCCAAACTGTTGTCAGGTTGTCGTTTTGAGAAAATAAATGCTTGAAACAGGAAATATTTTGACTAAACAGGATCAGTGTCTGATAGCTGACTGGATTGTGACATGTGTGTCCCCATAGCCACACGCTGTGTGGTTGTCACTCGGTTCTTCGGGTTCCTGTGTGAGCTCAGGCCACGTCAGCTGGCTCTTGAGGCTACAGGGGAAAGTACAGTAGGCAGAGGTTAAACCCTGAACTGTAAAATATACCCTGAACTGTGAAAGACAGGTATGTGCAGAGGAATTCACCCCAGTCCATCATTCCGTCGTTCTTCATGGGTTACTGGCAAACTGAGTGTAAAATCAATCATTTCTCAACTTTACATTGGTGAAGAACTTCTCTTCAGGTTATCCAGGCTTTTACATGAACATGATGTTGATTTCATGGCAAAGCAAGCAGATTCACAGTTTTGTGTCAGACTAAATTCGGGAAGGATTTCAGGGTCCATCAGAGCCCAGAAATCAGCGCCAAAACAGAGGCACAAAACCAATTGTTGTGATTTGGGCAAAGGCCTCCACCCAGGAGTGATCCAAACTATCCTGGAGGCACCAGCTTCACCAAGTTAACATTGTTGATAAAACAGTGGGTTATCAAGGATGCTCTTGGCTGGAGAAGCCACTGAGTGATCCCTGGTCTGAACCCCCAGGCCACGTTCTGGACTCAGCAGGGATGGTAATGGGCAGGATTCAGGTCTGGTGTAAGAGGTACCCAGGCACATCCTGGTTGTCTTCCGGGCAGCACTTTGCTTGTCAGCCACCAGAGCATAATAAACTCAACAGAAGAATGAGAAGAGTTAACAAAATAAACCTGTTAAAGCTCAGCTAACTGCAGAGTTTGAGTCTGGAGAGGCAGCCTGCAGATTCCTGAGTCTGCAGGGAAGGTGACCCGACACACCCTCCTTCCCTGTTCCTTGGCAGTGGCTGGCAGAGCCCTGCCCCTCCCTGTGAGCTGCCTGCTGGGACTCACTGCCAGCTGGAAGCTTTAAGCAATACAGGGGACAGCCTTAAGCACCCAAGGGATGAGCTGGTTGTGTCCCTCTGTGGAGGCTGCAGTTGGCACTGGGGCAGTCCCTGAGTGTTCTGTGGTGGGTCAGTAATTCTGGGAAGCTGTCCTTGGGCTGCCCACCCACGTGTGCCCTCTGTCCCATGTATGCTGTGCATTTACAGACACAGGGAGTTGTCCCTCCCAGACACCCCCAGGTCCCTCAGCTGGGACCTGCCTCTGTGGTGCAGCTGTGATCATGCCCCATGCCTGTATTGCTGGGTGAGGGTTTCCTTCCCTGTTCCTCCTGGATGTGTCCCATCTCTGTTTGCATCACTGAAATAGCTCCCATTATCACCCAGTGCAAGCGCTTAAGAGTCACCATCACACTCATTCTCCCAGCATCCCTTTAAAGTATCTCACAGTAGCCCAAGGACACGCAGACAAGGAAATACAAGCAGGAATTCTGAGTCAGTGGTTGGTGCCCCAACCACTGGGCCAGCAAGAATAACTTGTGCTCTGGCTTATGCAACTCGTATTGTTGGAGGTGCAAATCTCAGGATATTCCAGCAGCTGCCTGGCATGGGTGCTGGTTTTGTTTGACCCTCCAGTGGGCTGCTTGAAGCAAATCTCAAACTGAGTTATATATTCCTTTCAGGTCAGTGATGCATTTATTTTAGCCTAATAAGATGCTTGGAGTCTGTTGGTGTTGTTCCTGATTAATAATTTATCATTGATACACCTAAAAAAAAAAAATCCAGAGTTCCGAGTTTGCAACTGCTTGCAACTCACCACCAATTTATTCCATGTGTTTATCACCCAGGACAGCCAGTGGCAATCCCTGTCCCCAGCTTTTGTCTGAGGTAGCAGCCAGCGTTACCCCCCTGTGCCTCAGAGCTCAGCCCCAGTGCCCCTCCAGCCTCCCAGGGCAGGGGTCAGCTGGAGGCTGTTTTTGGCAGCAGCTCCGTGGTTGTCTGAGTCCCACCCGCAGCCTCAGGCCCTGCAGGATGTTTTCCAGTCCAGGTGGAAGGGAGTGATGCTGGGCTGTGTCCCCTGGCCATGCTGCCCGTGCCAGCAGCTTTGAAGATCTCCCAGGGATTCCCCGTGCGAAGGGTGAATTCCCAGCTGGCACCATACCCACCTCCACAGTTCCCTGGCACCCACAGAGCCCGCAGAACAATTGTTTTGAACTCAAATTGTTTAAAATGGAGATAGAAGCGGTGCCTGCTGGAGCATCCCCACTGCCAGCTCACGGGGGGTCCTGCCGGTGGCTGCTGCAGAGGGGGCATAGGAACGGCTTGGACCATCCATGGAGCACCTCAGGAGACTCCCTGGGAAGGGCAGAGGGATACCTGGAGTCGACCAAATCCTTAGCAAAGCAAGTTGCTGCTTGGCCTCAGGGTGGCATGGAGCAGGGATGGTGCTTGTGCAAGAACAAGCTGCCCTCCCCACCACCTTACACGAGTGTCGGTGATTCTGCAGCCACGTGGCTGACCCACCACATCCCCACAGAGGCAACCACAGCAAATAAAGGGGAATTGCAATATCCTGCCACTTGCAGGCAGATATTTCACATGCATTGCCTCCTGGACAAGTGTCCATAGATGAAGCAGCCAGGGGACTGGGTTGGGAGTGGTCCGTGTCAGGTGGGGGATGCGGTGCTGGGTCCAACTGATCTCCTTCTCCCTTCTCCCAGGAGTGCACCGTCCTTCCCAGACGTCAGACATCCCTGGTTTCTACCCCCTGCCCCCCGGAGGAGTGGGACAGATCACGCCGTCGATGGGATGGTGAGTGAGGAGGGCTCTGCCCACGGACGCTCCACCCGGGCTCCCGTGCTTCATCCCGGCATCCCTGGAGAGGTGTTACAGCCTGCCTGATCCAAAACTGTCTCCTGCCGTACCTCCTCTGCCTGTGTGGGTTAGGGAACCCAGGGAGAGCTTCCTACCTATCCCTCCTAATCCCAGCAAAAGTCTCTCTTTTGAGTGGGGGGTAATTTTCTCCCTTGCTGGAGTTTGCAGCACAAACAGTGCTTTTCCTCAGCGTGCCACCAGCACAGTGTAATCCTGTGGGATGATCCATCTGCCAGGCCATGGTGTTTCTTAGGGTCTGACACACAAGGAAGAAGTTCTCCATGGCAGAGACCTGCCCTGCAAACGACCCCAGTCCCCACAGCCTGGGCACAGCACAGCAGGCTCAGTGGGAACTGCTGTCCCAGTGGGGACGGGGAAGGAGGGACCATGAACTGGAGCACTCCCAAAATGTCCCCCCTGCGTGGGCCAGCCCTGAGGAGCATCCTGCAGAGCAGAGCCTGTTGAGAAACCTGCCCCAGGCACACAGGTTAAAAATCCACCAGCGTGTGCTCTGTGGTGGTGTCCCTGGCTGTGTCCCCGTGACCGGGAGCGCAGCGGGGGAGCAGGGCTGGCTGGGGCTGCCGGGTGGGCACCCTCACTGCCCTGATTAATTTTTAATCCCTGCTGAGGACATGGGGCATGGCAGAGGCTGACAGAAAGGGTGGTGGCTGCAGGTGGCAGTTCAGGGTGGCCAGGACAGGGAGAGAGTGCAGGGAGGGTGATGTGACCAGATTCCCCCAGTGCTGAGGGATTTTTATCAGCAAAGCCCCACAGAGACCTTCAGGTACGAGAACCAATTGCATAGTTGGGATAGAGGGGCTTTGGACTTCGTTTTGTTTATGAATTTCATGTTCCAGATATTTAACCACAAGGAAACAGAAGCTGAAGCCTTTGATACACAGTTTGGCTTCAAAGAGATTAACATTTTACCTTCTGTGCTAAATCTGCTACTCTTGGGTGATGATTTAACTCCTCAGATGATGTGATTCATCCTCAGGGAAAACAAGGACTGGGGTGACTGTGCTGTAACATGAAAGAAATAGTTGGGAGCTGGAGAGAAACGAGCCTGTTTGTCAAATGGAAGGTCCACTCCTGGGATGGGATGGGATGGGATGGGATGGTGCTGCTCAGGCAGCCCTGGGTGAATGGAGTGAGAGCAGCCTGGCTTTTGTGGAGGTTTTGTGGGGCAGTTGGTGGTGGAGGAAGTTTGCATGGATGAGAGCTTCTTCATCATCCACAGGGTTTGGCATCCTCAGATGCCTTCATTAGTGACTAACAGAGCAGATATGGTAAAGCAACAAACAGCCTGACGTGCAGGGAGCAGCACCTTGAGGCACATGTGCCTAATAGTGCTTTTGCTCATTCTTCTCCTTGCCCAAAATTTATGGAAGGAACCCCAAACCCACTCCTGGAGTGCCCAGTCTTCAGCTGAGGCTCAGCACACCAGTGTGGGGGATGCAGAAGCACCAAATCCCATCAGGTTCATGGCAGCATCCCTTGTGCCATGGCACAGGCTGTGTGCCAGGGATGGTCATGCCAGGGATGCATCCCAGAGAAGCTGTGGCTGCCCCATCCCTGGAAGTGCCCAAGGCCAGGTTGGACTGGGGCTTGGAGCAACCTGGGATAGTGAAAGGTGTCCCTGCCCATGGCTGGGGAGTTGAAACTTGAGATGATCTTTAGGGTCCCTTCAGCCCAATCATTCCATGACTCTGGGCCTGTGCCAGTGCCACCAGGTCAGCTGCTGAGCCAGGATGGCCACACAGGAAGCAGCTTTTCCTGGAGCTGGCAGCAGGAGCTGGGCAGAAACGGGTCTTGTTCTCACCGAGCGCTTCGGGAGGAGGAGCTGCAATCACTGTCTCTGTAATTAGCTGGGATGACAGTCGGATAAAAGCCTCCAAGAGTCCAGTCCAGTGAGTTTTGCTCCTGGGAGCCTGGCAGTTCACCTTGGCCAGGAGCCTGCACATGGTGTCGCTCCCCTGTGCCACGGCAGCCCCTGCACTGCTGTCCCACTGCTGTCTGAGCTGCCCCCTCAGCATCTGGTGATACTCTGGAGATACTGAGGGAGCTGGAGTTGTTCAGCCCAGAGAAGAGAAGACTCTGGGCAGACCTCAGAGCCCCTTCCTGTATGCAAAGGGAGCTTACAAAAAAGGAGATGAACTTTTTATGTGGGCAGATAGTGATAGGACAAGGGGAATGGTGTTAAACTGAAAGAGGAAAGAGTTAGATTAGATACTAGGAAGAGGTTCTTTACTTGGAGAGTGGTGAGGTCTTGGCACAGGTTGCTTAGAAAGGCTATGGATGTCCCATCCCTGGAAGTGTCCAGGGCCAGGTTGGACGGGGCTTGGAGCAGCCTGGGCTGGTGGAAGGTGTCCCTGCCCATGGCAGGGGGTGGAACTGGATGGGCTTTAAGGTCCCTTCCAACCCAAGCCAGTCTGTAATTCCATGATATGATAGGCTGGAAGCAATTGTGCATTCCCAACCATCAGGGGCTGATTTTGCAGCTGCACTAACTTCACGTCAGGGGGACTTCGGATGAAGCTGCGAGTGCCTGACCCCGTTCCTATCCCGGTGTCCCAGACTCTGGAGGAACCCAGGTCGCTTCTGGATTAGCTCTGAGTGTTTTCTCAGCCCTGGGGCAGCCGCCTCCAACTTCAAAGGCTGTTTGGGTTTCCCGGTGTGGCAGCACTTGGCTGTTTGTTGGTGTGTTTATACCCGCCGACATCTAAGGGGTGGGAGAGGGCTCCTGCCTGGCAGGGTGTAAACACCTTCCCTGCACACAGATCCTGCAGATTTCGGTCAAGCCGAGACACAGCAGCTCCCTCAGCAACAGAAACAGGAACCTTCTTCCTGCCCCACTGTCACTGTCCCTCTGCAGGGCAGAACCTTGTCCTTGGCCCTGAAAAATCCCAGGCATCCAAGAGCTCAGGCCTTCCCGGGGCACCACACTTGATGAGAGTGGACTTTTGGTGGGGTTTTTGGTTATTAGAGCTGAAAACAGCTGGTGCTGGGTTTGGGCACAGCTCTGTGCAGCCTGGCCAGAGGAGCATGAGCACCAGTGCAGGTGTAAGGACCCCATCGTGCCCCATCCCTGGAAGTGTCCAAGGCCAGGTTGGACGGGGCTTGGAGCAACCTGGGCTAGAGGAAGGTGTCCCTGCTCATGGCAGGGGGTGGAACAAGATGGGCTTTAAGGTCTCTTCCAACCCAAACCACTCTGTGATTCTATAATCTCAGTTTCCATGTGCAGTCTTAGGCTGGAAGCATCTCTTGGTGGGTTTGCAGAACAAGCCAAGGTATTTTTGAGCTATTTCCATATGAAAATGTGGGGGTTCCCTTGCTGGGAACAACAAGGAACTTCCTGCATAGTTATTTTACTATCTCAAAAATAATTTCCAGCTCCAGGTCTGGTACATGCCCAGTCCCCAGTACGAAAACACTTTGAAAAGGAATGAGCTTCTGGCTGTTTAAAACTGATGGGCACCCTTGAAATGATATGCTGGGGAAATCAGAGTATTCCTGAATACAAGGGCAGAGTAGGTACTTTCTCTCCAGACACCAGGAAGTTCCTGTGCTTGGGCATCACAGAATCACAGAATGGGTCAAGTTGGAAGGGACCACAGAGGGTCATCTGATCCAACCTCTCTGCCCAAGTAGGATCATCCTAGAGCACATGGCAAAGGATTGCATCCAGATGGTTCTGGAATATCCTCAGTGAGGGACACTGCACACCCTCTCTGGGCAGTCTGTTCCAGTGCTCAGTCACCCACACAGTAAAGTTCTTCCTCATATTCATCCTCCTGGTGCAGCCTCTTGTGCACTGCACAGAGGCTCTGACCAGGCTTTAGTTTTCTGGTCAAGCTGTGCTCTTTTAAGCAACTTCTTCTGTTGCTGCAACAGCAGCTGATTTTTCAGCACACACCTCTGCATTTTGCATTTTTTAATCAGATGAACTCAAAGATGCACCAGGAGCTGCTCAGCACTAGGGTTGGAGTGGGGTCAGAATCGAATCCAACCTTTGTAGGAAGTCCCAGGTTCTCTCAAAATAAAGTCCAAGTCCTGCAGTGCCCCTTGAATCCAAAGGACAGGCTGAGTGTCCTGCCAGCCAGGGGCGTCGGTGCCCCGCGTCCCCTTAGCAAAGGGTATCTTTAGGAAACACCCCGTGGCTGTGGATACTTTATAGCCTCTTTCTTCCCGATCCCAGGCAGAGCCAGTCTGTCTATCCGCTCCCGTCATGTGGATTTAGACAGCCGTACTCGTCAGCGCTTTCTGCTGGGGCTTCTTTCTCCAGGTGAGTACGGGCTGTGTGACACAGGGCAGCAGCTCAGCCGGTCTCGCAGCTTGCAGTGTGTGCAGCAGGAGCTTGCAGCAGACCAGAGCCACCAGGGACAGCCACACACCCACCCTGGGGCAGCCACGGGGAGAGAAGGCGCTTGGAGGCAGTGTCTGGTCCAGAGGGTGCCCGGGGGAATATCGAGGATGAAGGATGCTCAGCTGTTGGGTTGTCATAGAGCAGAAGTCTAAACAGAGCCAGAAACCCCAGCCCTCAGCTCAGCACTGGGAAAACGGGCTGGAAGCCACTGCTCAGGATTTTGTTCCGTGTCACTGGCCCTAATCCTGGATGTCTCCCTGCTGCCACCACCACTGAGCTTTGCTCTGCAGGGACCCGTCTGTGTTCCTGGTCTCAGCTTTAAAAGCAGGACAGGCAGTGGGCAGTGATCTGCTGCCCTGCCATCGGGCACAGGTCAGTTCTGTGAGACAAAATCACAGCTTCTGTCTTCAGGGGAGCACAGTACATCACTGTGGGTGGGCATCACAGAGCCCAGCCCCTCCAGGTGTGCTGCTGGGCAAAGCCCCCGTGGCTGCGTGGGGGTGTCTGGGCTCATGCACCGGCTTTTGCTTCTGCTTCATGTTGTCCTGAAGAGCTGTTAGTGGAGATTTCCCACAGGAAAACCAGGCAAACCCTTGCTCATGAGAGCCCTTAGCCATGCAGGAACCTGGATCCCTGCAGCCCTCGATCCAGGCCATTCATCCCTCCATCCATGGAGCCCTTAGTCCTGCAGAAGAGGGGAGAGGGTGCTGCCAGCCCTCCTTGCTCACGAGGCATCACCCTTGCACAGCCTGGAGGATGAAGGCAGGAGGAGCTAACGGTTCCCCACGGAGCCCCAGCAGCCTCCCCGAGCTCCTGCTTGCAGGATTTTGGGGTGGATTTTGCAGCAGTGCTGCAGCCGAGAAAGTACACCTGGTCAGATAAGGATCAGACTGTGCTGGTGGATTAAATTAAACAGCTTTTCTTTTCGTGCCAGCATATCTAATGAACAGTTCATCTCCCATGGGCAATTCTGCCATCTCAAGCTGCAGTCATAAAGTGGCAAGCTTGGCAAAGCTGACTGTGCTGGCTTTACCCTCCAAAGCTCCAGAGAGAGCTAATGAAGCCTGAGAGCTAGCGAGACCTCTCATGATCTCAGCCCGTGCTGTGGAGAGCATTGCTCAGGCAAGGTGCACCTCCTAGAGTTGCAGTTGGGTTCGTGTTCAGACTCAGGCTGTTTCTGTTAAAAGGAAGGTGCGGGGTGGTCCTAATCTCTCCCATCCAAAGCCCTGGTTGAGTTTGTTGTTTCTTTGTGCAGTGCTAATGAGATATTGCAGCAACAGAGATCTGAGTGGCTGAAGCTGCTGGTTGGAAGTGCCCTGGCCCTCGGCCAGGCCGGCTCTGGCTGCAGGCGGTTCCCTCGCCATGGCACCGGACCCTTTCCAGCCGTGTGCCCGCGGGGGTGACCCGGGGTGGTGGGCACTGCCTGCCCCCTCCAGCCTGGCAGCACCCACCTGCTTTCCGTGTCCTCCGCTTCCCGTCCGCTTCTGCCACGTCCAAGCGCCGTCCCCGTGAGACGCTGCCCGGCGTCCCCACAGCCCCGGCACGGCACGGCCTGCCTGGCACGGCTCACCCGCTCTCTGTTGCAGGTTCACTCACCCACTGATGCTGGGCTCCGGCATGCACACCACCGGCATCCCGCACCCCGCCATCGTGCCCCACTCCGGCAAGCAGGACATGGAGCACTATGACCGCAACATGTGAGTTGGAAGCGCGGGCAGGGCTCGTGAAACGGCACCTCGGCACCCGTTTCATTTATCGCCCTTAACGCCCCTTCTGGGGGCAGGATGGGTGAGCCCCGAGCTCTGTCTGCACCTGAGGTGCAGTTGGGGTGGTTTGGGGGGGAGTTTTCTGCTGAGCCAGGCTGGAGGGTGGCTCTGGTGCTGACAGCTCCTCCTTTGGTCCCACCAAGGAAACCTCAACCAGAACCAAAGAGAGAGAAGGAAGCCAAGAAGCCCACTATCAAGAAGCCCCTGAACGCTTTCATGTTGTATATGAAAGAAATGCGGGCGAAAGTCATCGCCGAGTGCACCCTGAAGGAGAGCGCTGCCATCAACCAGATCTTGGGAAGGCGGGTAAGAGCTCGTGGGCCCAGCACCATCGCCCCAGTGCCCCATCCCCGTGCCCTTGCAGCTGCTCTCCAGCACGTTACGAGCATCTGCTTCAAGACTGGGTGCTCTTATCCCTGTCAGATGTGCCCCGGGGCAGGCTGGCCGTGGTGGGGCGGGCTGGGAGGGCGGCGGGGCCGTGTCTCGTGTCTCACTGCCCTGTGTGTCCCTGCAGTGGCACGCGCTGTCCCGGGAGGAGCAGGCCAAGTACTACGAACTGGCTCGCAAGGAACGGCAGCTCCACATGCAGCTCTACCCTGGCTGGTCTGCCAGAGACAACTACGTGAGTGCCCGCCCTGCTCGGCCCCCCTTCCCTTGGCGTGGCCCGAGGTAACCCAGCTGGTGTTTGCCAAACAGCCCGCCTGGCCCTGGCACTGCCACTCCTGGTGGCACCAGCGCTGTGGGAATTCACATTTCAGGAGTATTTTGAGCACCCTCCCGGCTTATTGCCTGTCTGTAGGATGGGTGGTACAGCCCCAGCTACCACAGGTGTTTGTTTGCTTATTGTCCAGACAAATAGAAGTAGTAAGGAAGAGGAGCTTTGAGGTGATGGGGATGGTCTTTGGAAATCCAGTTTTATGGAAACATACTGCTTTGTGCATCTTGGGCAGCAGCTGAGATAGCTGGGAGGGTGGGCAGGCCCTGGCACAGGTTGCCCAGAGAAGCTGTGGCTGCCCCTGATCTCTGGAAGTGTCCAAGGCCAGGCTGGACAGGGCTTGGAGCAACCTGGGATAGTGGAAGGTGTCCCTGCCCAGGGCAGGCGTTTGAAACAGCATATGTTTAAGGCCCCCTCCAACCCAAACCATTTTAGTATTCTGTGATTTAAAATAGTGGCTCTTTTTGAAGAAGGTTTTTCCTTGTGACTTTCTTGACTGTTCTGATATCACATGCCCAATGAGCTCGTTAAGAGACCCGAAGCAAAGCACACATTAAGTCTTCAGATATCTGTCCATCCACTCAAGGACTCTGTCCCTTTGATCTAAGCCTCCATCATTTCCCTCACAGACACTTTCTTTCCCCTGGAAGCTGCCCAGTGAGCTTCCATCCATCCATCCCACACTGCCCACAGCCCTCCTTCCAGAAATCCCAAACTCCACCAAGGGCAAGAAAACACCCTTAAAGAGCCCAGAGCACCCCAAAGCCCCCTAAAAAACAGAGGGCAGAGATGATGCAGAAAAAGCAGAGGTGAGGGGAAACCCCCAGCCCACATTTTGATGGGCACACATCTGGAGGGCCTTTAACACCTGAAGGACATGGTACCAAGACCAAGCACACCCTCCGTGGAGATCTCAATCTGTATCATCATTCATCTGGTTCCTTGGGGAATCACGGGCTGGTTCCTCGCTCCAGAAGGTGGATATTGGTCCTGCCAGCATTGCAAACCAGCTGTTTTGGGTGCTGTGGTTGTTGAAGAGATGCTGTTCTCTGCGGAGCCTGAGCAGGGAGGAGGAGGAGGAGGAGGAGGAGGAGCAGGAATGTAGGTCACTTCTGCAGCACGTGATGCGGATATCGGGCAGGAAATACAGTTGCTCCCCCAGTGAAGAAACAGCTCACCACAGCTCAGAGCTTTCCACCTTCACTCAAACCACAAGAAGTCATATAAAAAGTCACGGGTCAGAGGCAGCCCTGTGAGCTGCTGCTCCTCACAGCCAGATTTGCTGCTGCGCTGCTGTGCCCTCATTAGCGGCTCATTAGGGCAGGAGGGGACTTGCTGCATCTTGTGAATCAAGAGAGGCAGTTTGGGGATGAAATAGGGCTTGCTTGTTAGTGAAAGAAGAGTGAGAGATGGGTCCAGAGCTGCCAAAGCACTGAAATAGGTCAGTGTTATTTGAAAATAAATTTCTGGGGATTTCCTTAAACTTTCTTTCCCGTTTGAAATCAGGGAACGTTAAGGAGCAGTTTGGGTATAAGGCACCACATTAAAGCGTGTTTTGGAAACAGGGAAGGTGCTAAAATGGGCCAAGGGCTTTTCAGAAACATAAAGAGGGAAGAGGAATATGGCAGGAGCATCAGCTGTTGATAGATAAGGCTGAGCAGTCCCTTTGCAGCCCTTCCCTCTTCATCTCTCCCTGGAATGGGCTGAGCCAGCAGCACTGTGGCTCTTAACCACCAGATCTGGTCACCTGTGGGGCAGCTGCCACCCCAGCACCCAGCCCAGCCCCAAACACCCTGCACAGCACCCTCGTTCTCCTGGAGCAGGGATAACAGCCTTTCCTTTGGTTTCCCAGGGGAAAAAGAAGAGACGGACACGGGAAAAGCAGCAAGATTCCAACTCAGGTAAAGGCGTGCGTGCGGTGCCTGTCCCCGTGTTCCCGCTCAGAGGGGACAATCCAAAGCAGTTGTTGTGTTTTATCATGTTTTCCTTCATTCTCCTGAGCTTAACCAAAGAAACACACATTTGTTATTTTTTTTAAGGCACGGCAAATTAACATTTCTGCGACTTTTTCATAGACGTGTTCGAATTAGAACATGGGGAGTGGGTGAAAACTGAACAAATTAGATTTTGGCAACTGTTTATAACTTCGTATAAACTGTCACTAAATTTATTGAAAACATTCAGGGTGCATGTTCCCATCAGACCTGCAGGTGTCATTAATTAAAGAAAACTCTCAAATGCACCAGCAGCACTGTGGGTGGGATGAAATGCAGTGACAGGATTGAAGATCACCCATGGGGCTACCCCAGGTTTGGATTTCATTTCAAAATAACCAAGAGTTTCTGAAGCAAAGTCACACTAAAACCCAGTACCAGCTGCCTCCCTGCACCCCACTGCTGACGAGGAAAGGCCCTTTTGACAGATTTGAGACTGTATCCCCATCATCCAAGGCTATTCCTGTTCTAAAGCATTTCTGCCATATCAGAAACAAACAATATCTGTACCAATGAATATTCATCATAAACCATCAAGAGAACTGTCCTTGCCCACTGTGGCATCACATCTACAGGAAGTTAGACAGCCTGTTTTTCCCTGTGTGTCCATTCTGGGATTGCCTACAGGGTCACAAAGAGCTTTTCCCACTCTCCAGCTCACCATTACTGCTCACTGCTCTTACTTGTGGATGAAACTATTGTCATCCATAAGATAAGCCATTGGCTTTCTAAGCAAAACACTGGTTGTCTGTCTCTCCAGAAATGCCCCCTGGGGAGGGTGCCAGGTCAGCCTGTTGCTCTCCCAGCCTGGCACAGCCACTCCAAGGCCTGGCACCCTGAGCTGGGGACCCCATGGTGCACAGCTGGCTGCATCTGGGCAGTTCAGTAGTTGGTTAAGACATTGGGGGCCCAGCTCTGGTGTTATTGCTGTGGTTTACACATCCATGCAACCAGAATCCTGCAGCCTGCAAAAATTCATAACGTTCAGATTATCTCATTAATTGCATGAATCACCATTGGATGACGTCTTTGAATTGTCCAGAAAAAGCAATTCCATGACTCTGTCGCAGTTATGTCTTCACTTTAATTAACACTACTGATCCTGCTCAGTGTCTAGACTGATAAGGGGAATACAAGCTTTTAGGCCTATATGTAGTGTGTATATATATTTATATATATATCCCTATATATGTCCTGTCTGTGTGATATAAAAATGATAATGGATTGAAACCAACTGCTGGTCACACACAACAGCCTGAGAGAGGGAGGCTGAATCCAGCACAGAAATGTGCTGTTCAACTCCCATTTACAGCACTAGAGAAAAACAGGATGTGCCTGAAAGCAAATCGGGCTTCACCCTAATGAGTCCCATAATTAAACAGTAACACTGCAACGTTTTAGGGAAGGCCATGGAACAGCTTTTCCATTAAAACTGGAAGGGGGATGGTGGGGGGCAGAGTGCAATAACCTGGCCTAGGTCTCCTCGGTGCTAACTCTGCTTTCAGCTGCTTCTGCAACGTTTCCTCTTCTTTCTTCCGTGCGCAGTCCGAGCTCACTGGCAGCCCTGGCAGTCGCTGCTGGGAGGGCAGGGAGCAGGTAAGGATGCAGACACAGGAGCCAGGTAGTGCCTCTGGAACTTGGCAGCCTCTCCAAACTTAAGAAATTTGAAGAGCCTTGAATTTCCCCGTAATTGCCCAGGTTTCCTGGAGCTGCTTCCCAAACCTCCTCCTCCTCCAGCTGCCAGCAGCGATCACCGATATTTGCCTAACGATCACTTTTTTCCAGGAGAGGTGGTGCCAGCAGGAAAAAAAAAAAAAAAAAATTTTGGGATTGTAGTCTGTTAGTCGTGTGTTCAAGTGGCTAAAATGATGTTGCCTCTTTTCTTCCTCCTGCTCCTCCTCCTCTTTGTGCCTCTGCCTTGCCCATTCTCGCCGCGCATGCTTCTGTGTTCAGATCCTGCCTCTCCTAAGAAATGCAGAGCTCGCTTTGGCCTCAACCAACAAACGGACTGGTGCGGCCCGTGCAGGTGTGTATCGGCATCTCCTCGCTGCTGGGGCGCTGCGGGGACAGCGGGAGCAGCTGCGGTGCCCTCCCGGTGCCCGCGGGGATGGCTGTGCCCTGGGCATCCCCCGCAGCTGCTGCCTGAGCCGGAGGGTCACGCTGGGTTTCTCACACCCCGGGGCAGGGTTGGTGTAACGCTGTACATACTCCTCAGCTGGTGGAATTCCCTGGTCTTAAAAGCTAATTTCCAGGGTGGAGACCTCTGTGACCCTGCTGTGGGGCTTTTTTCCCCCCCGTTAGCGATTTCCAATCACATAAACAGCACCCTAGGGCCAGCAGTGAGGAGTTAGTGGGTTTCTTTTTCCCATTTATACTGGGCTAACCATGTATTTCAGGATCCAGCTCTTCCCGACCCTTAAATTTCACAGTACCCACCACGGGTGGGGTGGGACAGCCTCGAGCAGCAAAACAGTGCAGTGCCCTGCCCCTCAGGCTTCCAGGGAAGGGACATGGCCAGGACATAGGAAAGTTCAGGGCATCAACCAAGTGCTGCCTGGCTCAGGGGGGCTGCAAAGGCAGCCAGGCAGGAAAAGCTCCGTGGGGGCTTCTGGGCCTGGGCACTGGAGCACAGGGAGGCCCCAGCTCAGACAGAGGTCTGTGATTCCAGCACATGTTCACAGCAATGTGTTAAGGACTGTAGGAAAAGCTGGGAGTAAAGTACTGCTTGAAGTGATTAAAATCATTCAGTGCACCCAAATCTGGCCCAGACCTTGCTGCACCCCAAATTCTGGTCCCTGTGGCTGAGCCCCAGCTCCCCTGAGCTCCCCTCCTGCACCTTGGGGTGCCACAAGAGCTCCCTGCTCACCTTTTACACCCCAGGTGGTGTCATCAAGCACCGTTTTTTAACAACTAAGAATCTGGACAGAGCTCCCTTAGTGTCTCAGTAATATCTGAGTGTTCAGAGGGGGCTGATGGAGGCCCCATCCCTCCTGCAGCCAGGGTGGGTGCCCTGTGCCTTCCTCCACCTTTGCTCTGCCTCCACTCCAACTCTGAATTCAGCTTCTCCTCTGCACGGCTTCCCAATTAACACAGGCTGCTGGAGTGCTCAGAGACCTTGGCATGCTCTTCCTGTGTCCCCTGTGTAACCAAACCCTGGTCAGCCAGAGCTGCTCTGCAATTCCTGCACTAACACTCCAGGGCTCCTGTGCTGCCTGCTCTGGTCACCTGCAGAGAACAACTTCCCCAGGAGGATTTCCATCCACAGGAGAGGTGACCTGGTTAAGATTCATGTTGCTGCTTTGGAGCTTTCACCCTGTAGTTCCTACGGGGAGAGGGATAAGTTCCTAAAAGGAGGGAGATAAACCCCTTTAGCTGTGTAACATCCCCCTCAGCAGATCCCACGGACCGGTCCGTACCAGCAGTCTGTAGTGTCACACCTGCTTTTTTCTGCCCATCACTGTAAATCAGACCAGTGAACCCATGGGCAGATCCGTGTCACCTTAACACAGGTCACTGAAACTCCATCCTGCAGCTACTCCCGAGAGGTCTGTGGGGAACACAGCTCCTCCTCAGGCCCGTCTGCTCCGGGGAATTGCCACCCGTGGAAAATACCCTGCGAGTTAACGCGGGGCTGTCGTGTTCCCTGTCGCATCAGTTGGGTCAGCATGGCTGACGGTGGCACTGACAGCAGTAACAGCACTGCTCTCGTTCACATCCAGTGCAAGTCATGTTTCATACTGGCCTAGCTAATGCACGTTCTCACAGTGTCTGGGTTTTCATTAGGAAGATCAAAGAGAGGTGTGTGCCCGCATTAGCGAGGTCTCATTTCATCTGTTTTCCTCAAATGAGGCAGCCAGGGCAGGGAGCTGGGTGGGAGGAAGATGTTCTTCTACCTGTTTTAGCAGTAAAGTCATTAATGCCATCTCCAGCAGAGGAACTGTCCCCTTGCTACTGTTAAGGGCTCTTTCGTTTGAGATCTCTGTAGAGGTGCTCGAGGACCCACAGCAAGTGACACGAGGGATCTGTCACATGGAGAGAAGGAAAAGCAGCTCAACAGAGTGTGTAAAGACAAAACAGTGTGAGGGACTGACTCTGGACAGCCAGGGGCAGTTAAAACAATCAGGTGCATGAGATGACACCTGGAGTCCAGGGTAAATACTGAACAGAACTGCCCAGGGATCTGGAGGAATCATGTGCCAAACCAGCTGCAGCAAAAGTGGTGTGTGACTGGTATTTTTGAGACCCCCAAATCATTGACATCCAAACAAGTGGGAAGCCTGAGTGTCTTCTCCAGGAGGGATGAGGGGAGGCTGGTCCTGCTGCCAAATCTTTCTCCCCAGTTGGTGTCTGTGTACTGTCATTCTGTACCTGGACTGCTCCAGCATCCAAAGTGACACCTCAGACAACCTTCAACCATCTCCAGCCAGTCCCAGGCCAATTCCTTCCCTCTTCCTGATCTCTGTTGGGCATTTTGCACTCAGCTGCATCACTGAGCTGTTCTTGGAGATGGGAAATATGTTGAGATGCACAAATAGCTGAGAGCAGGGGCTCCTGCTGCCAAAAGAAGAACTGAGAGCTCAGACCAGGTTAGACAAGGCTTGGAGCAACCTGGTCTAGTGGAAAGTGTCCCTGCCTGTGGCGTGAGGTTGAAACAGGATGAGCTTTAAGGTCCCTTCCAACCCAAACCACTCTGTGGTTCTAAGTAGGTGATTCTGTGCACAGGTCTAGGAAGGTGCTGGGAAATGGGCTCTTGGGACCTTCGGATTTGGGATGAGAAAAGCCAGGACTGTTGTGAAGGGCAGTGTCCCAGCAGTGTCCCACTCACACTGCTGACTACAGCGGTGTGGCTGCCCGTGACACCAGCACACGTGTGTCCCGTGGGCCCCGCTGGGCTCTGTGGGGAGGGTGACCCCAGGGGGTCCTGAACTCATGAGATGATCACCCCACACAGCCTCCCAGAATCTGGTGGCTGGTGAGGAGTGACCTCCTGGGTTGATTTTAATTATTGTTTGGGGGGGGTTATTATTTTTATCGTGTTTAGTATTATTATTTATATTCTTATTATTTTATACTGCTCCGCTTTTATTATTTTCATTTTACAGTTTCCAATTTTATTTGGTTTATTATTTTTCTCTTTTTTTTCTATTCTCCTTTTTTCTATTTTCATTTTTATTACTTTTTTTTTTTTTTTAATTTTTATTCCTGGTTTCATTACCTCCTCCTCTTCCTCCTCCTCTTCCCGTGTTGCGGGCAAACCCCTTTCCGTTGGAACTCTTTCCCTACAAACCCTTTCCCTTGGAACCCTGTCCCTTGGAACCCTTTCCTACGAACCCTTTCCCTGGAGCTCTTTTCCCTTCGAACCCCTTTTTTTTGGGAACCCTTTCCCTTCCCCTTGGATCTCTCCCGGCGCCCCCTGGCGGTGTCCCCGCAGCGCTGCAGCTGCCGGTGCCCCCCCCGTCACTGACCGAGCCCTCTCTGCGCGCTGTTCCAGGAGGAAAAAGAAGTGCATTCGGTACCTACAAGGAGAAGGACGCTGTACCAGCCCAGTTTCTTCCGATGGAAGTGCTATAGACTCGCCTCCATCCCCTCCGGACGCACTCCGATGCCTCCCCTCCGCCTTCCCGTCAGAGCAGCTCGCAGCCCCCGCCGACCCCGCGCTCCGCCACCAGCCCGACCCCCGCCCGGTGTCCGCGCAGCTCCCGCCCGACTCCGGCCCCTCCAGACCCGGCCCCTCCGGACCCGGCCCCTCCAAACCCGGCCCCTCCAGGCCCGGCTCCTCCAGGCCCGGCTCCCGGCGCTCCGCGGCCGCGTCCCCCGCGCACAGCCGCGCCCCCGCGGGCACATAGTGCCCACCCGAACGGGGACCGGGCACCGGCCAGACCCCCAGCACACCGCCAAACACGCAGCGGGATGACTCGAGGATGATGGAAAACTCCTCCGGTTGGGGTTGGTTTGGTGTTTTTTTTTTTTTGGAGGGGACGGGTGATAAAGGTAGAAAAGCAATTTCAAAAAAAAAAAAAATTCAAAGATAAGTACTTGCCAAAATTTAAAGTGCTGATGAGTAAACAAGCCTTTTGTCCCTGCCCTGTGCTGCTTTTTTTGTTTTGTTTTGGGTTTTGTTTTTTTTTTTTAATTGCATTATCTCCCAGCGTGGCAGAGAGCAGAGCCCAGTCCCCAGCTTGCTGCTGTAGGTGGTAGGTGCTGTCCATCTAACCCTGGCTTCCACCCCCTGCCCTCTGAGCTGCTTGAAAGTGTAGTCACTCACAGATCTCCCACAGCCATTCCACCATGGAGCTGGAAAAGCTGGAATAGGAGCGTTTTTTAAAAGCCCTCATGTCTGAAAAGTAACCGTAGCGGTGCCAGCGCTCTGATCTGAGCGGGTCACAGAGAAATGAAATGCTTCAACCAGCCAGGTGAATTTTGTACACTCCTTGTTTGAGAACAGGAAGGTGTTCACAGGCAACACAGACGTGTCTGTGCAGCACCAGCCAGTGAAGGAGCGTGGACTGAGCCCAGGAAGGGCTGATGGTCACTGGGGCACCGGTCAGGTGCAGGGTCTCCCTGGCTGTTGGGGATTGTCCTCTGCAGATGAGGACGGTCAGAAATCCCACCGGACAGGCTGGGCAAAGCCTCAGAAATGCCTGTGTTGCTCTGTGGGCCTTGCCCTGGCTGTGCCCTGGCAGGGGCGGGCAGGGAGCCAGCAGCCCTGGCAGGGTGGGCCGTGGGCGAGGCCCTGAGGATCCCACCGGCCAAGCAGCCCCTTCTCCTCTCAGCCGGGGAGCGGTGTGAGCTGTGCCCCAGCACAGCTCTGCCAGCCCCAGCAGAGCAGCGCTGCCCTGCTCTGGGCTGCAGGTGTCCCTCTGGCCGTGCCCTGGTGAGATCAGAACCCTGTTTCTCGTGATTCAGTGTGTAACTTTTTAAAACACCTTATTCTGGCTTTTTCTGATTCTCCCCCCACCCCCTTGCCGACACCAAATGTTGATGTGTTCTCTCCAGCCTGAAAGCGTTTACCGGTTTCTGGTGTTGTATTTATACTTTGAGTTTGACAAACAAAAAACACTGTGGACAGATTATGATCTCCCTGAACTGGTGTAAATCCCAAATAATTCCAAGTTCTGGATTTACTTCAGGTTGACAGACTTCTCACAGAGATCACAATCTAGTCCAGTGCAATTTTCTCCCTGCTTGAAAGAAACATATTCCAGACTGCTGAAGAGAAAAATGACACCACACACAGGGAGAGGGGGTCTATTTTTTTCCTATTTGATAGATAGGTTCTGGAGTACTGAATACAAATTATGTAGTAATATTATTGTAGAACTGCGAGAAATTTAAGATGAACCTTTATAATGTACAAAATATTTTTATATTTTTTTTTCTTAACGCAAAAACACAAACCCTAATTTTTTACATTGGACTAAACATAACTTTTTAAACAAGTTTATGCCTCAAAGATTTAAAATTTTAAAAAAATAAAAAAAAAAAATTTAAGAAAAGCCAAACCTGATTAGTCTGTAGAGCAGCTTTGGGTTTATTCCCTTTATTTAGGTAGTTTTGCTTGTAGCCGTGTAGATGTTTTTATTTCTGGTTTTAGTTTAGAAGATCTAAACCTATTGCTTTATTCCTCTCCTGTGTAAATGTAACTTCAGAAGCACTGACTGAAAGCTACGTGCACAAACCTGACAAGTTTGCAAAGAGTCATTTTAAAGTCTGAACCACTTTAACCCTCGGAGAAGTAGCATTTCCTGACCCAGTGCCACCTGTACTGACTGCACTCACAGGGTCAATTACACAGCACTAGATCAATATGCAATCTGCTCATTTTAAGTTATTTTAGCAAGCTTAGCCAACAGCAGGTTCCAGTGCTGAACACAGGAACTCAGCAGACTGACTCTTGCCAGATCTGACATGGTCTCTCCAGTCACTTGATTTAAAAACAAAACAAAACGAAATGTTGTTAAAAAAGTGGCCATGTGTCAGCTCAGCATGTGCTGCTGTGAGAGCCTCTGCTGCAAGGTGCTGTCCAAGTGTCACCCACTGGGGACACCAGAGAGGACAGCCCAGCCCCCTGGCCTGGTGTACCCCCCTGGGTGTACAGCTGGTGTAACCCAACACCCGACGGGTACCTCGTGGTGGGATGGAAGATGGAACAGCAGCAAAGCAAGGCAGGTACAAAGCAAAAAGCAGATGTGTGTGGGGGTAAGAGCAGGGGAAGCTGAGGGGAAGGCCCTGACCAGTACGAATGTGGCCAAGCAGGAGGCAGTGCGAGCACCCAGAGCAGCCCTCACTCATTTCACACTCAGGGCCTTTCTCCCATTATTTCAAGGCTCCTCTGGCCCTTTCTCAGTGTTGTGGTCCCTGCCCTGACCAGCAAGAGGCCCATCTGCACTACAGCCTCCTCTCATCATTGTTATTCCACCCACCTGCCCTGTCCAGCATTCCCTGCTCGTGCCCTCGTGGCACAGCAGCATTTCCAGAGCCGGAGCACTCGCACCCATCTCTGCCCCGGCCTGCCCGTGCTCCTCTCTGCATACAGGTTAGAAACAACACCCCCTTGGGATATGCTCTAATCACTTCACAGAAAATTTACTTATTTTTATTCCAAAACACAGAAGAGATATCTTTAAGCTGCCCCTTTCCAAGACAAAACAGCACAACTGACTTCTGTTCCTTGCCCCACAGCTGATAACTGATGCCAAAACAAAGCTACTCTTATTAATACCAAAAAAAGTGTCTTTAGAACTGCTATATGAAGTGTTGCTATTTTGTGTTAATATTCTTTTTTAATAGAAGGAAAACTTTGCCCTTACATTTTTATCTCAATGAGAATTTTTTTTTTTAGTTATTTTACAGCAATTTTAACTCTTCCTGAAATACACATTTGAATTCCTGAAATCAGTTTGAATGTAGAAGTCATGGAAGTACCACTTAATTAAACCAAGTAAAACCACTGTATGTATGTAGCAGGGATAAATGTTTTGCAGCTGTACTTTCATTTGTCCAATGAGTATCCATCATTTGTTGTAATTTTTTTACTTCACTGAGTTTGTATTTTTTGGCTTTTATGTTCAAAATATGTTTATAGCTTTATAAATAAAGTAATTGCCAGACTGGCTGTTCAAAAGAGGCCACTGGAAATTATAATCCTATCCAACTCTCAAATAACTATTTCTTAGCATTCAAGAGGATTTCTGCTTGCCTTTTTTTTTTCCCCTTCAACATTTGCATGTATGAATAGTTTTTAGAATAACTGCCAGTTGTCTTCAAAGGGTAAGACTGAAGTAGTTAAGCAAGAGTAAGAAGAAATACACCTTCTTCTACAATCCCTCTTGATACAGCCAGCCTCTCCCTGCCCCCACACATAATCCCTTCAGCCAGGAGGAGCCTGATCCCTCAGCATGCCATGACTTAAACGAAAATAAAGTTAAGGAAGCACCATGCAAGTTAAACAGCAACAGAAAGTTTAACAGTGGGCAATCAGTGTGTTCCCCTGTCTGGAATGTCAGAGTTCCCAGTGTCTGTTGGAGCAGCAGGCAGGGAACAGGCTGAGCTGGAGCAGGAAACACATGGCAGCCCAAGCTGTCTCAGCAGAGTGTCCTTCTCTAGAGCACATCATAATGTCACTGCAGTGGGTGAGACAACTGAGAGATTTAAAAAAAAAACCCCAAGTTCTCCTGCTGCCATCCAGGCCAGGCAGCTCCAGACTGTGAATCTGGCTGAAGCCTGAGTCACTACCACAGGGGAATTTCAATTAGTGAAAATAACCAGGAAGGAATCCTAACTACCTACTAAGAGTATTAAAAATCTGTCAAAGCTGCAGAATGCCCTGAGCACAGAGCAGCCCTACCCTGCAGCTCCACAGCTGCCCCAGGGTCACCAGCACCGTGTCACAGCCTGGAAGCAGCAGCTCCTCGGCTGCAGCGTTGGAGCAGCCCGGGCTGGGCTGCAGGAACAGGGGCTCCAACCACTGCCAGGCCTTCCCCAGGTGTGCTCATGGCATGGCAAACAAAGGACAGGCCACGCAATGAGGAACAAAACTCTCTTCCTTGTCCTGCAGCACCGTGAGGCCTCGTGCACGGCGGTGGCTGCTGACACACACACACACACAGTCTCATGACAAACCACCTGCAGGAGTTTATACAGCTTCCTACCAAACACAATTCCAGCACAGGCTTCTGCATGAGCCACACAGCACTCTGAGGGTGAACTGGAATGTTCTGGAACACTACACACACAGATGGATTTGTTTCTTACAAGAATCCAGGACAAACTGAATATTCAACAACAACTGCAGCCGCAGAAACGTCACGCGAAGGTTTTTCTCCGGGAGCACTTCTAAACTGAGGTGCATTGTTTGCAATACTGGCTGCTGGAAAGCCTTCAGCATGTCCAGGAGCAGCAGTGGAGTATTTTCTGCCCACTGACAATATCTAAGACACCCGTGCAACACACAGCAGCACAAAGGCAGGCCCAGCAGCTCAGGAGTGAGCAGATGGGAGCACAGCAGCTGCAGCCAAAGCTTGGGTTTGAATGCTCCTTTAGAGAAAGTTATTCATGCTTTCAGAACAGTCACATCAAGGACTACCTAAAAGTTAGCAAGCATCAAAAAACATCCACCTGGATGTTTAACCATCACCCAAATTCATTTGAAAGTTGCCCACTGTCCTGCATTAGTCATTTAACAAAATCTTGACATCTGCTTTGTTCCAATTACCCACTGCCTCAGTGCTGTTATTTGTACACTCAGAAATAAGTGACAGCAAGATTGTCTAGCTCCAAATAACTAGAACCATTTGCAAAGGAAAGTTTAAAAGCCCTTTATTAATCCAGAAGTGAAACACCGATATTTAAAGTGAGATAAGTATGTTTATTAAGGTTCATTCTACTCTAAGGTTTATACAGAGAATGGAATGCAATACAAGCTAAGAGCACACCTCAAAGATCTACCACACAACCATCCCCTACTCCCTATAAGGGAACTGTAAAAAAAAAAAAAATAAAAATCAGAAAACCAGTTACTGTTTAACTAGTTGCAAGTGGCTTTGTCCAAAGAAGTTAAGCTTGATATTGCATTAGCTTTGTATGCAATAATTAAGTCTCTACAAGCTGAAGTATCACAAACAGAGGCAGAAGATTTCCTGTGGACACATGAAACCATGTTTTCAAGAGCTACATCACAAGGGTTCTTTAAAACTGCCTAAAAACCAGCCACTAATGGCATGCACAGGTCAATAATATTAACTTTGGTAATGTCAGTCATTTTTGGTCAAATCTGGGTTCCACTTTTAACAGTAACATGTATAAAAACACACCCATCCTGTGCATAAAGCAACACACTTTATTTGCTACCAGCTAGAGGCAGGTCTTCAAGACATGGCTGAAGTATTCAAATTTAGCTGTCAGGAGTTTGCTTAGTTCTAGATCACATTTTCACTAGTCTATAAGGCAAGACTAACAGGACAAGCAAGTGGTCAAATATTTAATTTTTTTTTTTTTTTAAATGCAGGACAAGAACCATCTTGAAAATTATATAGCTTTAAGTGACACTAATTTTTCCACAATGTTTTTGGAAGAAATCCAGTAACTTTTTTTTACATTACCTAGTTCCCCAAGACACACTCAAGTTTGTTTGTCTTTCTGAAACTATCAATACCCTGTAAATACAAGTGTTTTGCTCTTCTTGAGGAAGAAGTCACTGATGTTTTTATTTACAATCCTCAGCACTGTAACTGGACTTGAATAGTTTAAAAGTGTAATGAAAATGATAACCTTAAGTGCTACTTCCCATACAGAATCCACACTTAATTCAATTTTATTCTTTGCAAAGTAAAAAGACATCCAATTACACTAGTAAAAACTCAGAAGATTTAGATTTGTACTCAAAAAACCACTACACATGCAAAGGGAACAATATCCTGCTAACACAACTTCATTTGCTGCTGCATTTGTCTAATATTAACAATTATGAACAGGGCAGTGCAACTAGTATTTGGAACAATCCTTACAGTGTTCGAGTGTCAGGCACAAATACTTCACTTCTCTTCACACCACTGGTTCTCTTTACGTACCTGAAAGAAGAGTTTCACTGTTAATACATTGCTGGAAATTCCCATGAGCATCCAGCATTATTTCCTGCAGGGAGGCATCAGCCTGGAGCAGCTTTAACTCTTCATGCAGGGCTTGCAATTAGAAAAAGTCAAGTCTTCCAAACTGACCTTTTCATCAGTATAAGCCAAGAAACTTATTTCTCGTGCCCAGATTTGAGCAAAACTGGGAAATTTTCCACCAAGTAAAGCAAGTGGATTACTTTAAGTCCAAGTTGCTCATTTCATGACATGGCACTGAAGACAAATCCCAGTGTCCAGACCCTGCCTGGGTGTTTAACCAAGGCATCTTGTTCTGCTCTTTCCCAGCTCTGCCATTTTGCAGTTGGTTGCTGTTCAAGTTTTAAGATCAGTGAGTTCTTTAATGATGAGAACCCAAACATCTTACCTTTGCAGCCACACACAGCAGTGTATCTTCAGCACTACAGCTCCCAAACAGCAAACTAGGACACCACAAATAATCCTACACGCTGTCTTACCAGACATGTGTTGGAGCTAGAAAAATCAATATGCTCTCTTTTGACCTTTCCAGGCAATGGGCTGCAACTGCTGCAGACACCAAAAAGTTTTCTACCAGTAGCAACCCAGTCATGAGGATTTTATGCATTAGTTTACATTTATTAACAAGTCAGTTGCATTAGATTAAATTCTGAAGCACCACACACTAATCCAGCACAAAAAGCCAGCCAAATTATAATTAAACCCAGATCAAGTACCTGTGCTTCTTCCTCTTCAGTGAAGTCATTCTTAATATTGAATGTCTTGCGAATTTCTTCTGGAGTTTTCCCCTTGATCATGTTTGCAACTGTCTTGCACGTGACATCAAGCAAACCTTTGATGTCCAAGTAATTTGCAGCCTGTAGAAGAGTTTCCAAATTTAAAGCCTCCATATCAATATTCTGCCTCTGCAGATGTCCTACCAAAGTCATGCTTACAGTGAAACTGTAGAACACTGTAACTGCAAACAGATCATCTCCACTTGGAGAAGCTTCTAGCTGGAACCTTCCAGTGACAGTACCTACAGCTTGTTTGCCAAACGAAGGGGAAAGTCATCTGTACCATGAAAAATACACACTCCTGCTGCTCCTTTTGCAGAGGGCTTTCAGGAGTCTGCAAACATCCCACATCTTCAGTGCTGCAGTCCTGGTAACCAGCCAAGGCAGGTAATGTGGGCTCACAGGACCATACAAGGTACAGATTTGAAGTCAAAGCTGTATTTTAATTTGTGTGCAGATCTCCAGAACTCCATTACTAGAAATAAGCCCTCATCAGCTCAGACTCAAGAGCCACAAGAATAAAAGACAGCAATATTCAGCAAATTGATTGACTGATGAGTATAATTAATGCCAGCATTACACTAACAGCCAGTGCCAGCCAGGAGTTACCAGAACCACCTGCCCTCCCCACATCCCCCTCCCAAGGAAGTTACTCAGGAAGCACAAAGGCTGTTTCTCAAGTGCACGAACAGAGCTCACTTCACAGGCACAGCCTTTGCACTCTCTGAACACACTCACCAGGATAAGTTCAAAGAGGGTTCCTTGGTCTACTTTCAGAAACTCTTGATCCCACACAGGGATGTCATCTGTTCTTTTTTCTTTGTTCTCATCATCCTCAGGAGGAGGTGGATCATCCTTGTGATGGGTGCACCACTGAATCACCTAATTTTTGATATTAGAGTTTTGATATTAGAGTTCTATCCAAGCAATTCTCCTATGAGGCCCTAAATATAACTTAACTTCATTTAGGAAGAAATGTACATTTTTTTCTAGATTACTGTTAGAATCCTGTATGAACATGCTCAAATCAACAATATTTTCATTGTAGAACAACTGATCCCCAATCCCAGAGCAGAAATCCCAGCCTTAAGAAATCTCAATGAGTCAGCAGCACACCAGTTACTTAATCTTAAAAGCCAGCTGCTGGTGCTGTAAAGTTATTACACCCTGTGCTAACACACACAGGACTGTACCAAGAAAACTAAGCCTCATTTTGCAGTGTTCAACCTGTTTGCAGAAATGTAATTTTTATTAAGCAGGATACTCCACAGGGGAAGAGTACAGAGTGGTAACAGCTACCAGCAGGTCATGCTCACCCCAGAACAAAGTCCACCTGGCAAGTTTGCCTTGAAAAAACAACCAAGCCACACAAGCTTGGGAACATGCAATCTCACCACCAGACA